CATACATGTTGACATACATATCTGCACACACAAAATTTTCTCTACCTCCAAGGTTTAGACTGAGAATACTCTCTTGTGCATTCTTTTAATCTCCCTATTTTTTCTGTGACAGTAACATAAACTGTTGATAGCTTTTAAAATATTATATATTCAGTTGAATGTCTATTTACATAAGCAACAAAAATTTTTTCATATAATGATGTTATAAAATAATAATAATAATAATGTAGTATAATGCATGTAGAGCTGAGGTTAAGAAGAAAAGAATAAGAATAAAACTATTCTTTTTATCATAGGTTACTCAAATACTGGCAACCATGTACTACGGGCCAAAAATGTTAAATGTCACTTCCTGTGGATTATACCCAATATGTGAATGAGTTATAAATGTTTAGCATTATATTTTAGAACTAGAGGAAAGTTGCAAGATCATCTAATCCAGTACCTTATTTTCTTCAGAGACGATATGGGCTAAGGATATCTCACTATTCTATAACTGGAAAGTACCTGGACCCCGTAGGCCTGTATTCTTGCCTGTATGTAATGGTGTTTACATGAATATCGTATCATTAATATTTATCATAAACTTTAAAGCAGTTTTCAGAACTGGAGAAGGTAAGTAAAAACCAAACCCATTGTATCAACAAGAACAAAATATCGTTGATATCAAGAAATAGTTAACAAGTTATCAAATAAATATCGAATAAACTCAAAGATTTGTTCCTTGAAAGGAAAGAGGATAAAGCATTTATCCTTTTAAATTTACTAAACTGGTCTTATCTTGTGTATAATTCAGGTATAATTTTTAATGAAAGACATATGCACTATGGTACAAAATGTTGCCAAATTACTGATAGATATGAAAAATTAAAATTGGAAGTTACCTTTCAGGCCAAAAAATAAAATCAGGTCATCTTGAGTATTTATACATTTATTATATGCATTTTGTTTTTCTATAGTTTTAAAATTGGCAGATATATTACCATCATATTTAGTAGCTTAGGAAATAAAATTTGTAGCTATGATTTTGTCCCTTTTATAGATCTCATCTTTCTTAAGCAGGAATTGTTACCTTGCTTTATAATCCATTTTATATACTATTTAAAATATTTAAAACCATTTAGGATATAAGGCAATGGAATATTAACAGAACACAAAATTTCTTTTCTATCCATTCTTTGCAGACAAACACAAATTTGAATCTAATTCTACCATAGATAGTGATATTGGACAATCTACTTAACTTCCTTGACCTTCAGTTTCTATCTCTTTAGAAAGTAGATAATAATAGGAAACACTTTAAAAAGTTCTTATAAGGATTCAGTGAGTGCGTATGATTGCTAATGAAAATACACTTATGTCATTTAATAGGAAGTAAAATAACTCAGCTCTGAGGGTCAGAAATGGCTGGACCATGTCTCTGGAGAGATCTATTGCAACAACTTAGCTAACATTATTATAATCTATCAGGAACCCTGAGTGCCCTTGAATTCTAATTCTTTTTTGTAACTAATCAAAATTAGGGGAAAAAATGGAGCTTCATGACTGCACTCAGGAAGTGACAATAAATAATTCAGTCAGCAGAGATGGGGTAAAAAAGTGGATCCTCTCAAAATAGGATCACAATGAGCAAGGTCCTAGTGAGAGAGGATTAGCTGGTTTCCCTCCCCCAGTCATAGATTTGCTCTCCTCCATCATCTCCCCTCTCTCGTCCTCCAAAATACAATAAATTTAATATAACTAACTTCTCAGGTTGGAGTTTTAACCCAAAATTTGCTTTTATTACATAGAATTTCTTACAAATGAGATTGTTATAATTAATCAGATACACAGTACCTATGTTTCTCACATCAAGAGGGGGGGAAAGGTGGCCCTATAATAATGTCAGTTTATATAAACCAAAATATTAAGTGTCAGTCTGAAATAAGCTGAGGAGTGCATTATTTTTCCTGAATCCTGACAGGCAGAGAACCTGGGATTGGAAGAGATTAAAATAATGCTGACATACTATTCATCTTGGCAATTCTCTATTCCCACAACTCTGGTTTCCTAGGAGAAACTGATTAAAAAAGCTAAGCTAACCATCATAGCAACTCCATGGTGCAGAAAGAAAACACCTAACTCAGTAGAAGGATGAGAAGAATAGAGTGTGTCTGTAAATAGGAAGAACTGTGTTAGAAATATTGTCTGAAACTTGGAAATAGGCAAAAGATGTTACTGGGTGTTCATTCAGTGTGGTTCTGAGCTTAAACTTTTGATTTATTTTATATCGACTGGGCTATTTTTCAACTGTGTAGGAGTAGAGTTTAACATGTAGATTTTTGTCTGAAAGAGATACAAATAATTTCTTTTGATAGAAGAGACAACCCCAAACGTAGGATATTAAGCGGTTTTTTATATAACCCAACAATTATATGTTAGCACCCCTTTATTAAATTGCCCATAAATACCCAGTTTTTCAAATGTTCTTTGAATTCTTTTAATTGCTTACCTGTTTTCTTATTAATGAGTTTAATAAAACCTTAGACACCTGTTCATTTTATATTCACATGACAATTGCAATATTACTCTTTTGAAAATTATACTTTAACTATGTACCTCTTGGCAAAGGACCAGAAAGATCTAAGCAGACAAATGTTAGAGAACTAACACTATTTATCACATGAGTATTCAAGGAGAAAGAGTTCCTATTTGTTAATCAGTTCCTGGGCGCTCCATTATTGTGAAGACTCCAGGTTATCGTCAAACAGGAAAATGGGAAGAAGCAAGAGGGGCTAAATGGATGCACATTAAAAAAAAAAAAAAAAATTGCTGAGCCAGATAGCTGTCAGGTGAGATAATAGAGAGCCTCATCAGCTACATTCCAGGGAGAGGGTATTTCTTTGTTTGTTTGAATTGAGGAGACTTTAGAGTAGTTATGATGAAACAGAAATTATAAAGATTGACATTAATAGCCAAAAGACACTAGGGGATTGCGTGGTGCTTAGTGAAAATATCTTTTTTTTTAAATCTTTGTGAAAAACTAGCCACAATAAAGACATATGTGGGTTTTGCTTTCTATTGTTTCTTTGAATGGGTTAAAGCAACTTCTTAGGCAGAATATGTGTGAGCATGTGTCCAAAGTTGGATAAATTTCCTAGGGAAATGTGCTTCTGAGAATGCCATTTCAAATATTTACATTTGATAGAGCATTTTATAGGGGGGGAAAGTAACTAAATTGTTAACATAGGTACAGGAAGGGAAGACCTTGTTAATGATTATTAGGGTAGTAATTAGACTGGCTAAAGTATCTGGCTGCCTTAACTAGTTTGAGGTTATAGGCTGGGTACAAGTGTGATAGCTGTCTGGGTTATAATCTATCCTTTCAGAAGTTTCTCTCCATCACATGTAACAATAAAGTTGGCCCCAAATTATCTTCCAGAAAATCACTCAGATATATATTTTTTTTTTCAAAGGTGATTGATAAGATGATAATTGGCGTTTTCTCAGGTTTGGAAAAAAATTGTTTAATATGATTACTTGCTGGGCTTTACATGTGTTAAATGTAGTAATGCTTACTACACCTCCTAATTAACTCTCATGATAAGATTATTTTACAATTTGATACACTTTATTATCATCATTTATATTGGCAACCACTGCAAGATATTTTCCTGTATATAGTTAAGATAATAAAGAAGTGTTTTCCTGGATCCAGTTATGTTTGCCAGTCATTGGTACGTACTCTGGAACTATAAGCAATTTCTAAATGTAGGTAAAATGCTTACTACACTTCCTGATAGTGAACATTAAAGAAAGTAAAAAAGAAAAAAAAACCCAAAAACTTAGTTCTTTCCTAAGAAACAAACATGAATACTAAGGAATGACATGAAATGAATACAAACAACAACAAAATTCTGAAATTATAAGCAAAATTTATTTAAAAATTTGCACATGCATGCACACACACATAGACATATGTAATTTTGCAATCTTTGCATTCATCCTTAACTCTAACGTTACATGAACAGCTATTGGATGAGAAATAATTTTTTAAATTTCTCCCCCAAGCATTTCGGAGGCATGCTGGGTAGTTGGCAGTATTTATTCCTTGAAGCAATAGTTTCTGAGATTCTTTCCTCAACTGATTCTGACCATGTTGTACATGAAGTGCCTGCCACTCCTCTTCACTTCACTGTTTCTCAACTCCCAAATTCTATGCAATTTTTTTTTAAAGATTTTATTTATTTATTTGAGTGAGAGAGAGAGCGCAAGAGGGGGTAGGGTTAGAGGGAGCAGCAGACTCCCTGCCGAGCAGGGAGCCCGATGTGGGACTCGATCCCGGGACTCCGGGGTCATGACCTGAGCCGAAGGCAGTCGCTTAACCAACTGAGACACCCAGGCGCCCAAATTCTATGCAATTTTTTAAAAATTTTTATTTATTTGATGGAGAGAGAGAGAGCACAAGCAGGAGGAGTAGCAGGTAGAGGGAGAGGGAGAAGCAGGCTCGCCGCGGAGCAGGGAGCCAGATGCGGGGCTCAATCCCAGGGTCCTGGGATCAGGACCTGAGCCAAAGGCAGACACTTAACTGACTGTGAGCCACCCAGCCGCCCCTCTATGCAATTTTCGACACCTATTTTAAATGCTGCTTTGGTTAAGTGCTCCCTGGTCCTCCAGCCTAAAGCATTACTCCCTCCTCTGATGTACCTAGGCACTTTGTATATTTTTGTAAGGTAAGCATCACTTGCTACCATTTATTAAGTGTATTTATATCTTTCCTTCCCTATTGAACCATAACCTTTATTCAACAGCATTTCATTCTCTAAACAATTGCATTTTAATTTTGCTCTGTTGCTTGAATCAATACTTTATATCCACATGGTATCATTAAGATTTTGCAGGAAATGAAATGCAATCAGACTTCCTCTGTGCTCAGCTAAGGATAATGTGTGATGTTGGTCATCCATCTTCATCACACAAGTGGCAATTATAGCTATATCTGTTCTTCTTTCTCATTACAGGAGAATATAGCCCCAGAAAGCGAAAGGTGACAGGAGAAGAATGGTAGCAGTTGGGTGTACCTGCGGTCCTGAAAATTCTTGATAGGATCTCCTTCCCCACAGGCCAGAGGACTGGAAGGTAATTCCCTTTTACAATCACATGGCCCTGAAGCAACCACAGCTTTTCTTGCAAGCAGCAGTATTTTTTTCTTGCTGACAGGTAGCCTCTGCGGAGTTTCAAGCACTTGGGCCAGAAGCACTATCTATGCCTCATTACCATTTAAATAGGCTGATCAATGAAAATTAGCATGTAATTTGAATTACAACACCCACCTCCTGCTTCTTAGAGCCTGGGTTCTCTAGCCTCTTGAAATAGCTGCTACTTTTTCCAGTGAGGATTCCTTCTCTTCAAATCTGAAAACAGGTGTATGCCTGTGCTTTAGTGCAAGAACTTTAATGAAGCAATTGAGCCCTGGTTCTGCCTCTTCTTCATCTGTATCCAGTACAACTTACTGTCCTATTAAAACACCAAATATGTAATAGCAGCTCCCTCAGCCAACTCCTACAATGAATATTCTGATTCAATGTCACCCTTAGTTTTAAGTCTATAATTCCATTATACCAATTTAACCAATAAATAATGTTATCCATTTAGGTCAGTGGACACACTATGTGGGCCAGGGATTCAAGGACTATGATGACTGCTCAGTAGCCATAAGAAACTTGGACAAAAAAATAGAAAGATGAAAAAAAGAAAAAAAGAAAAGCCATCTAATTTACCACGTAAACTACTCTTTATCTTTCCTGTCTTGCTTATGTCATAAAACTTTATGAAAATTAATTATGCAATTATATGTGTAAAAAAACTATACATATTACAATGCCATACAAAGGTACAGCTGTATTGTCATTACTTTTTATACACAGATGTATTGATATGACCTAATTAACTCTCATGATAAGATTATTTTACAATTTGATACACTTTATTATCGTCATTTATATTGGCAACCACTGCAAGATATTTTCCTGTATATAGTTAAGATAATAAAGAAGTGTTTTCCTGGATCCGGTTATGTTTGCCAGTCATTGGTACGTACTCTGGAACTATAAGCAATTTCTAGGTGAAAGTTCACAGATTATTAAACATTAAGATGATATAAAATTCTCTCTTGCACACTACCCAGTAATTCTTCTGGACTTCAAGTAACTTCGCAACTCTAGAGATTCATAATTTTGATTTAGTTGGAAAAAGACATGATAGTATTATGCAGTAGTACACAATTCTCTAGGGTATGGCACATGTAAAATATGCCTATATCTACATACCAATGTTGTATTTTTCATTCCATCATACTGTACCATCTATTTTCATTGAAAAGTGCAATTTCTTGTTGAATTTTCTCTCTTCCCCACATATCCAAGTCTCCTTGAAGTCATAGCCTTTCTCTTTCTCTTTTGTTACTCTGTTGTCAAGACTATCTTAGTCCCTGGTCCCAGTTAGCGTTAAGGACATATTTATTGAATGAATGAACAATGGTGGCCTCAAGTAGTAATTTGAGTGGGCTTTAATTCCCTAATGAACTCCATCAGCTACTTCCACTACCCAAAATAAACATACTGAAGACATAAAATCCAAGGTTGCTTTGAAAATACATCCTCAGGGGGAGTTCTGTAGCCTACTTTCCCATCCAGATTACTACCTGTAAACACCTTCTTTACAGAAACAAATGAGTAAATAAATAAATACATGAAAGCAGCATGGCCAGGATACAAACTACAGAGGATTCTAATGATTCCCCCAAATGGCATAATGTTCTCTACAGCCATTTAACGATGATGGAGCGTTAGAATCCATAGATCTCTTATTTAGAAATATGTAGGCTAAGACCCTAGTACTTAAGTGTATTTATCTATGGGGATTTAATTTTTTAAATTTTTAAATAATTATAGACTCACAGGAAGTATATATGCAGTTATAATATAAAACAATTTTTGCCATCGAACACTTTATTTTTGTTTCTCTTCTCATTAAGGAAACAATGCCCTATTTAGCCTCTGTAATAATCTTGTGTTTCCAAGGATTTGAGATAATAGTTTATAGGATCATTCAAGAAGGCAAGAAAATAACAACAAAATCTACAAAAAGAAATTAGGAAAATCCCTCTATATTTTTCCATTAAAATTTGTTTTGTTTTGGGCGCCTGAGTGGCTCAGTCGTTAAGCGTCTGCCTTCGGCTCAGGTCATGGTCCCAGGGTCCTGGGATCGAGTCCCACATCGGGCTCCCTGCTCGGCGGGAAGCCTGCTTCTCCCTCTCCCACTCCCCCTGCTTGTGTCCCTGCTCTCGCTATCTCTCTCTCTGTCAAATAAATAAATAAAATCTTTAAAAAAAAAAAAACTTGTTTTGTTTTGATGATACTGCCAGTATTTAGCTAAATAAGACTATGAGCTGCTTTTCTACCTTTATTCATTATTTTCTATGTAGTCCAAATTGAATTCTTAACTATTTCCCATATGTACCCCAAAGTACCTGTCATATATAGTTCCATGCTCAGGAGGAAATCATTGTCTAGAATTTCCTTCTTGTTCTCCAGAATTTTCTGTAAATCCTATCTAAGTTGTTAAAAGATTAACTGAGGCATTTAAAATTTCAAGGGTTTATTTGAGCAAAAATCAATTTGAATCAAGAGTTATCAAACCAGAAGTGGTTAGGATGTTGGTTGGGATTGACTACAGCCTAAAGCCTAGTTGGCTATTTGTGGTTGACTGTCCTTTGGTTTCAGTTTTGTAAACTTGAAGCATTTATGGGCTTGGATTTTGGCTTGCTTCCATAGGCTGCCACAGCCTCAGTCCAATGGCTTATTTGTTTAACTGATTTAATAAACCTTGGAAAACATATTTAAGCATCATAGGTTCAGTGTGGCCTTCTCTAATCCCATCATCTATATGAATTCTCATAGTCTTCTGAATCACCCTCTTTATGAATATATAATTGGGAGGGCTTAGATTATTTTATGTCTCATGTAGGACTTACGTATAAGTGTCATTATCTTGCCTTTGGACTGTCATCCCCTTGAGGGCAGGATGCAGGAGTTAGACACCTTTATGTTTCCTAGCTTCTAGTTAACAGTATTTTTGAAAGAGTGAGAAATTGAAAGAGTGAGAATTTGAAAGAATGAGAATATAAATGTATGTCCTAAAATATCTAACTTTGTTTCCTAACATTCATGCTAACTATTCAAAACTTGAGAGAGACATAAATGGGGAAGGAGATTGAGAGAAAGTGAGAAAGTGATAATCTTATACATACCTCTGACTTTGCTGAATTTAAATGCTTCATCTTGTGTTGTGCTGGAAATAAAGTTTATGCCAGCAGGTTCAAAGTTTTTAATTCTTAGAAGTAATTATTATCCTAAAGAACTAACATATATAAAGTCAGAATGGTGAGATTATTCTTGTTAGAAATCACATTTAAATTAAAATCATTTATTATGAATGTAGCCTGTATTGTGGAAGTGCTGAATATAGTAGTTAGTCAGCTGGAGTTCTAACCCAGTTTATTTCTTTACCAGCAATCACTCTGGAAATAGCTGAATGTCTGGGGACTCATTTTCTGAACTAAAAATAAAATTTGTTACTTTTTTTAACCCAATCCTAAACACAGTCATTATTTTCACAGTTCTTATTATCCCTATTATTTCTATAGAATGTAGGAAATTTTATAGTAAATTATTAACTAATGATATCAAATAAATTATTCATCTAAAGGATTGTGAAAAGTTACCCCAAGAACAAATGGAAGAAAATTCAGGGAGAACAAATTGATATAGTCAAATGATTATATTTTTTTCTTCTAAAATGTAAGCTATTTTTATGCTATTTGTAGCTAAAGCTAAGAAAGGCTGGTATTAGTAACATTTTAAGTTAAAAGTATGATTAGAGGTCCTTATTTTTTAGGAAAATAGGCTTTCTGTAATTTGGGGAGATTTAATACTAATAAAGTTCTGCTATTCTGTTGTGAGGGTATGGTGTTTGATTTTCCAGAATTATTCTATTAATTTATCAGTGAGAATTTATATAGACTGCAGTTACATTTTAGAGATAGGTTGTGACTTATTTATTTAAAGCTGATACTAATTTTGAAATAAATGGAAGGGATAGGAGAAGAATATGAAGAGATTAGTTAAAAACAAATCAAGACAGTTAAATTAATAAAATAATTATCTTATTTATATATGTCACCAAATCAAATGAAAATGTGTTTATTAACTTTTGGATGCTTTAATTCCATAAGAATCTTAAAGTCTTTAAACTATTACCGAGTCAGTAATTTAACTGATTTAGCAATATACCATGATGTACTCAGCACTCTGTGGTTGATTTTACAAGGCTTTACCTTAATTTTTTGGTCTATATTTTAGAAAACTAACTTTTGTGCCTTTGCAAGCACCCAAATTCTCTTCTAAAAGAAATATGCAGCTATTTCCAAATTTAGTATTTCCTCTTTATTTTTTAATACAATGTAGAATAATGTTTTGCCATTGAATGCCAACATTTAATTGAAGTCTCAATCAATCAATGTTTCTCAGATAAAATGAAAGCCAGTCTAATAAGTATATAATTCTAGAAGAAATATCTTTTTTTTTTTTTAAGATTTTATTTATTTATTTGACAGAGAGAGAGTGAGAGAGGGAACACAAGCAGGGGGAGTGGGAGAAGGAGAAGCAGGCTCTCCGCCGGGAGCAGGGAGCCTGATGCAGGGCTCGATCCCAGGACCTCGGGATCATGACCTAAGCCGAAGGCAGACGCTTAACAACTGAGCAACCCAGGCGCCCCCTAGAAGAAAAATCTTATATACTAATGAATAAGGTGCTATTTTTTAAGGCCTTTTTTTGGGGGAACAGTTTAAGTTTCATAACAAAATTGAGGGGGAAGATATAGAGATTTCCCCTATAGCCCTTGCAGTCTGTCACATGTGAATAGCCTTCCACATTATCAACTTTCTCCACTAGAGTGGTACATTTGTTACAACTGATGAACCTACATTGACACACAATAATCACCCAAAGTCCGAAGTTTACATGGTTTCACTTTGGGTGTTGTGCTTTCTATGGGTTTGAACACATGTATAATGACATGTATCAGTCATTATGGTATCATGTAGAGGATTTTCGCTGCCCTAAAAATCCTCTTTGCTCCACCTATTAATTCCCCAGCGCCAATGCTTGACAAGGTTTTTATTGTCTCTATAGTTTTTCCTCTTCCAGAATGTCATATACTTGGAATCATATAGTATTTAGACTTTTCAGATTGGTTTTTTCATTTAGTAATATGCATTTAAGATTCCTTTATGTCTTTTCATGACTTGGCAGATCATTTCTTTTTAGTGCTGAATAATATCCCATTGCCTGGATACACCACAGTTTATCTATTCACCACTAAAGATCATCTTAGCTGCTTCCAAGTTTTGGCAGTTTTGAATAAAGCTGCTATAAACATGTGCAGGTTACATTATGCACCTATTTTCAACTCTTTTGGGAAAATACCAAGGAGTGTGATTGCTGGTTCATTTGGTAAGAGTTATATTTAGTTTTATAAGAAACCTCCAATGTTTCCTCCAGAGTGCTGTATCATTTCACATTTCTACCAACAATGAATGGGAGTTCCTATTCCACATCTTCACCAGCACCTAGTGTAGTCAGTGTTCTGGATTTTGGCCATTCTAATAGTATATAGGGATATTTCGCTGTTTTAATGTGCATTTGCCCAATGACATACGATGTGGAGCATCTTTGCATAGTCTTATTTGCCATACATATATCTTCTTTAGGTGAGGTGTCTATTAAGGTCTTTGCCTCTTTTTAAAATTGGATTGTTCACTTTCTTATTGTTGAGTTCTAAGAGTTCCTTGTATGTTTTGGATAATAGTCCTTTAACATATGTACCTTCTGCAAATATTGTCTCCCAGTCTGTAGCTTGTCTTCTCATTCTTTTGACAGTGTTTTTGGCAGAGCAGCAGTTTTTAATTTTAATGAAGTCTAGCTCATCTATTACTTCTTTCATAGGC